TGCCAGCGGGGGGCGGCGGAGCCTGGGCTCAGACCCCTGTGCGCCGAACGCAGGGTGGCGCGGGGCGCGGACGCCTCTTTGGAGAAGTGTTCGTTTCGGAGTCTGTGCGTCCGTTTCGGAGTCTGTGCGTCCGTTTGTGGCACTGGGGTGGGTGACTTCGTGTTCGAGAGTGCACGCTTGGGGTCCCAGGGACCAGTTTCGGCCGGGGTTGGGGGTGGGGACAGTGCGTGCGAGTTTGGTGCCTGGCACTTGTGTTTATCCTCCCTCTGGCGACGGTGCTGAGCCTGCGTCGCTGGCCATGTCCAGGCTGCGTGGCACCGTGGGCAGTTGTTTACCTGGCGGTGTCAGCCCAGGGGTGCCAGGGCGGAGAGCCTGGCGGGTCGCGCTTGTTTGCTCTCTGCCTATCTGTGGGCAGGAGGGGCTTCAGATGCTGTCCATCCCGCCAGGCAGCACCTGGGGAGTGTATTTGTAGATTTGGGTGTTGGGGTGCTAGGGGTGCCTGGGAGTTCTGTATATTGCAACAGTGTGGGAGTGCTGTTTGGGGTGCTGTTGTGTGTTTCAGTGGGTGATTGTTTGTGCCCAGATGGCGAAGTGATGAAAAGCTGAGAAGCGCCTGCCAAGGCTGCTGCGGAGGGCTTTGGCATGGGCAGTGGCTGCTGCGTGGGGGAGGCAGGTGGCAGGCAGCAGCTGGCTGCCTTTCAGGGTTCTCCGTCTCTGCGGGGGGCTGTGGGTGGGGCTGCAGGGGGGATGCCGCAGGCTGGGTACTGAGGGACCGGTAGGGCCCAGCTTGCCTTATTCTCTTCCTCTCTCCAGGCCCAGGGCCCCTGGCCAGTGCCCAGCCCCGCTGGGAGCCCCGGCCAGCACCACGGACGGCACCCAAGAAGCCCGTGTCCCCCTGGACGGGGCCTTCTGGATCCCGCGGCCCCCAACAGGTTCGCCCAAGGGCTGCTTTGCCTGCGTGTCCAAGCCCCCCGCCTTGCAGGCTCAAGCGGCCCCTGCCCCTGAGCCCTCAGCGTCACCCCCCATGGCTCCTACCTTATTCCCCATGGAGTCCAAGAGCAGCAAGACCGACAGTGCGCGGGCGGCTGGTGCCACACAGGCTTGTAAGCACTTAGCGGAGAAGAAGACCATGACAAACCCCACAACAGTCATCGAAGTCTACCCAGACACCACCGAGGTGAACGACTACTATCTGTGGTCTATCTTCAACTTCGTCTACCTCAACTTCTGCTGCCTGGGCTTTATCGCGTTGGCCTACTCCCTCAAAGTGAGCAGGGGCGGCAGGGGAGCGGGTTACAGGGGCAGGTGCTGGCAGGTTGAACCCTGGCTGTGTTGCTCTGGCCCTCCCTCCCACAGGAGCCCATGAGCCGAGCAGATACAATCAAGTGACAAGGGATGCAAGAACCACAAGAGGTTCTCTGCTGGTGGGTCCAGAGAGGAGGTGTTGGCTAGGTCTGGGCCACCAGCTCTCCTTCTTGAGCTGAAAAAGCTTTATGAGGCTTGGGTCTATCCGGGTCAGCTCAGCACAGCCAGCTTAGCCAAGCCATGGGAAGTGGAGACTCAGGGCTCAGAGCCCTGTCCTCTGATCAGAGCCTGTGGGAACTTGACCGGTCATGTGTGAATTCAACCCATCTGCTAGCTACCCCTAGGCAAGTGGGGATAGAGCTGGCATGGAACTGAAGAGGGCTTGGGGTCCTGTGTCTGTTCGGTGAGGAGTGGTGAGGTCAGAACCCTTGCAGACTCCCTTACCCGGAATTCTGATGCCAGGCATTATGCACACCCAGCCTGGCAATTGGTAGGAGGCCTAGTGACTACAGCAGCCTGAAGCAAGAATGGGGAAGCCTGTGCCAACACTCATCACCCCAAGTGGGTACAATTTCTAGAGCCCCTTGGCACTGAGAGGAATTGGTGTGGAGCAGAGCGGGGTGGCAGTTAATATAGCCACATCCCCCTGAGGGCAAAGAGAGGACCGACCACAACTATGCAGGAGATGATAACAGCTACATTTGGGTAGAGCAGCCCCTGTGTCCCATGTAAGGACTGCGCAGCCCACCAACAGGGTGTGGGGAGACAGGGCTGAGACCCCCACCCACCCTCCCACTCAAGGGAAGGGAGGGAAGGAAGGAAGGAGGGAGGGAGATGCATGTGGATGGATGGATGGATGGATAAAAAGGGAGGGCTTGGCTCACATTTAGCCAGGTCATTCCTTCCCAGGCCCAGACTTGAATGGCCTGATACAGCCTAGTGACTGAAGCTGCCCAGGGTGGTAAGGGTAGCAGAGGCCTGGGGGAGAGCAGGGGCTGCAGGGAGAGGAGAGCTTAGTCCAGGTTGACCTGGGAAGAAGGAAGGACACTGGGACAGCTCCCTCTGGTCATCTTTGAGTATGACCCCCGCCCAACCCTGCACCACATGCCGGCCACCTGGCCTCCATCCTCCCCCTGACTCAGCCCCGGTGCCACCATCCACGCTGTCGCTTACACCTTCATCTTCAGGCCTGTGTACCTAGCTCTGGCTCCACTATTTGGGACCTGTGTGTGTGAATATGCATGTGTGACCCTGTGTGTCTGAGTGTGTGATTGTATGTGCATGTGCACGCGCACATGTATGTCTGATTCACTATGCATACGCGAATGAATGTGTACCTATGAGCATGTGTTAAAGTGAGCGTATTGCACAGTGTGCATGTAAGTATATTGTGTGTGTTTATATAGCTGTGAATATAGACATGTGAGTATGAGTATAAATTCCATATATGTGTGTGCATGTGTGATATGCATGTGTGAACAAGTGTGTGTGCATGAGTGTATGTACAAGTATCTGCATGTGTGAGGAGCACACTTGTGCATATGTGTTTGTATGCACGCATGTGAGTGAATGCATGTGTTTGAGTTGCTTGCTTGTGCCACTGCAGGTATATGTGAATGTAAATGTGGGGGAGGTACACACACATGAGTGTGTGCATGTGCTATAGGCATCAGGGAGGCTGAGCTCTACCAGCTGCAGCCACAGCTCGGCAGGAAGCACATCCTCTGCTCTGTCTGGGGAGTGGAGTAGAGCCAAGCCAAGGACCAGCACCAGATTCCAAGGACTTTGGTGCCCTCTTGCCCTGCACTGCTAGTAGCCTCTGAACATGGTCTGGCTGCCTGGGCTGCTGTCTGGAAGCCATCCCCTCCTCCCCTGGCTCAGCCTGTGCTGGTTGGCTTCTGGCATGGGGCAGTCCCATCTGGTGTGGGTTGTAGGTAGGTCAGGCATCTCTGGGTTTGTGCTGCAGTGGGGGTGGCATGCGGTTGGCACTTTGGCATCAAGCAGGGCTCACACACTTCCTTCTGGAGCTGCCCCTTCCTGGGAAGCAGCAAGGGCTAGAAGGCTCTGGGGCTTCCTCAGGAGTGTGGTGCAAAGTGAGCTGCCTGCCTCCAGACAGAGAGGAGCACAGGACAGCTGGTTCTGGCCTTGAGGCTGGGAACTGTCCACCTGCCCATCAGCTGCATATCTCCTGACCTGCTGCACCCATACTGTTTGCAGCCTGTCATGAGCACTTCCAAGGGCAGAGGGTAGACGTGGGCTCAGGAAGTTTATGCTGTAATCCCAGCTGTAAAGATGTAGCCTTCTCACCTGCCTCACTGAGCCCCTGTTCCTCATATGATCACAAAACAAAACACCATTCAAGCCAGCACACATGGACAGGGCAGGGGCTGGCAGGTAGCAGATATGAAATAAATGCTGCATCCCTGCCTTCCCCTGTCTGACTATTTACCCATCAGCCATCACCCAGCTGGGCAAGCACAGCTTCATGCAGACTAGGCCTGCATCACAGAGATTAGAGCCTTACTTTGCTTAGCCCTTTGGGAAGGGCAAGATACGAAAATCAATTCTCCATTCATGCATTCTCTACACATTGCCTCATAATGACCATGGCTCTCCCTTGTTAGCTGGATAGCATCCAGACTTTCATTTTACTGTTCACAACACCTCGGGACTCCTTTGCATCCCTTTTCCTGGCCTCACCAAACACCCACTTGCCTACGTCATTCTGGAAGCACCATAAGTGATGTTTGCACCTGCTCTTCCCTCTGCTGGGAGAATTCATAAGGTCCAGTTCTCTCTTCTGCACAACCCCCAAGACACCCCTACCCTGGCCACATCTGCCCACCTTCACCCCAATCAACCCTTCATCTTGGTGTCATTAGTGTGCAAAGCAGGTCTGGTTAACATAGGAGTCAAAGAATATTGGTTGAATGGGTAGATGGACCGAGGACACGTGGCAAGATGGAATAAATGTCCCAGAACTTCAGAAAGGGAATACCTCACTCCAAGTTTGGGGATATATAGGGCTCAGGGCAGGAGACCTCTGGGAGGAAGCTCATTTTCCTGGGCCTTAGAGGGTAGGTGAGGGGAAAGGTATTCCAGAGAGAATGACATGGAGGTTGGGACTTTGGGGATCATTAAGCCCTCTGTCTTCTGTACGGAGCAGCAGAAGATAGTCCTAGATAAGCAGGCAGAAGCCCCATGATGAAGGATCTGGATTCCACCGTATAGAAGACTGAAGAGAAACGGATCAGTGCTGTAATATCTGCAGCAGTGTGGAGGAAGGAGACAAGAAAAGGCTAAAGGAGAGTTAAGTTCCCAGTGTGGAGGTCCAGGTGGGACAACGTGGCCTGAGCGAAGGAAAAGATGGAGGACAGTAGATGCAGCCAAGAGGTAGTAGCTACTTAATTTGAGCCCAGGAGGCTAGGACTCCCTAGTGACAGAGAAGTCAGATCGAATAGATTCAGAGGGAGGAATAAATGGTCTGTGGGTTATTGTATGTACCTATCTCCCACTCCCTCCTTTCTAAGCAGCAATATCGTCCACCCACTCACCCATTCACCCACTATCCCACTCTTCTGTGGTCCTGTGATGTTTCAGTCAACAGCAGACCACACATACAATGGCCATCCCACTAAGATTACATCACCTCGGGGTGCCGTAGCCCTTTTAGATTGTGTGAGTGCACTCTGTGATGTCAGCACAATGATGAAGTCACCTAATGATGCATTTCTCAGAACACATCCCCATCACTAAGCGACATGTGACTGTGCACCAGCAGCTCCTTCATTCCCTTCAATCCTCCACAGAGCCTTCAAGCTCTCCCATTTGTCCATTCCTGCTTCTTCCTCCTCCTCCTGCTCTCACGTTCTACCCCTACCTACCTTGTATATAAATCCACTGAACTATTCCTTTAATGTCATTCTCTCCATGACTTTCCTCCTTTCCTTATCAGCCCTCTGCATGTTCAATCATTGACCCAGCTTGGGCCTAATGCCTGGATACTTCTTCTTCAAGTCATCCCTCTCCATCCTGCCCATTGCCCCTGTGGCTGACCTGCACCTGTCCATCCACCCGTCCATCCATCCATCTGCCAAGTGCTTTTCTTCATACTCATGTTCACCCTTTACCTTTCAGCTCTTCCCATCTATTAATGTAATCCATCCATTATCATTTTTCTATTTCCTTCTCTGTCATTTTATCCAACTATTCATGCATCCATGTAGCTACATTAATTTTCCTTATTTTCCCCCTCACTTCCTTTCCACATGCTGAATTCCTTAATTTATAATACATCCATCCAGCCTCATTATATCCTTGATTTCATTCATTTGTCCAGCTACTTGTTCACACACCTGTTTTTTTGTCATTAATCCACCCATACATTTGTGTCTTTCATCATGTACCTACTTTCCTTCCCTCCCACTCTCCCTGCTGGTCTCCCTCGCTTTTCCTACCTCTCCCTGAATACCACCCATCAGCATACAAATCATTCATCTGTATCCAGCACACCCACCCTCTGTTGATCTTTGCATAATGTATTTTCCCCCTTCCTGTTTTTTTCCAATGACTTCCACTCCAATGATCATTCGCCCACCCAACCAACCATTTTTCTATCTTCCCTCCCTCCTTTTTTTTTATGCCAGAAATCGAACTCAGGACCTTGTACTTGTGAGGCAGGCAGCAGCAACACTGAGCTAAATCCATGGCCCTCCCTGCCTCCTTCTGTCCATCTCTTTCACCTGTGTTTTCCACAGAGCCATTCACCCTGTGGATCATGGTGACTCTGGCTCAGAGCATCTGATAGAGTCCTGGACACACTGTTAACTAGCTGTGAGGCCTTAAATAGGTAAGCATGCCTGTACTTGCCTGTACAGTTCCTACTTCAAGGCATTGTTGAGAGAGTGCTATCAGTATAGTAGCTGGCTATAATAATTTCTTCCTATTATTGTTGTTATTTCA